ACCAACGCACAACTGTGTGTGTCTCTGTGTGTGTGTCTCTCTGTCTGTGTGTGTCTCTGTATGTGTGTCCCTGTGTGTGTGCCTCTGTATGTGTGTCTCTCTGTATATGTGTGTCTCTCTGTGTGTGTGTGTCTCTCTGTGTGTGTGTGTCTCTCGGCGTGCGTGTGTCTGTGTGTCTCTATGTGTCTCTCTCTCTCTCTCTGTGTGTGTGTGTGTGTGTGTGTGTGTGTGTCTCTATGTGTCTCTCTCTGTGTGTGTGTGTCTCTATGTGTCTCTCTCTCTCTGTGTGTGTGTGTGTCTCTGTCTCTGTGCGTGTCTGTGTGTGTCTCTGTGTGTGTGTGTGTGTGCGTGTCTGTGTGTGTCTCTGTGTGTGTGTGTGTGTCTCTCTGTGTGTGTCTCTCTCTCTGTGTGTGTCTGTGTGTGTCTCTGTGTGTGTGTGTCTCTCTCTCTGTGTGTGTGTCTCTGTGTGTGCGTGTGTGTGTCCTCTCATGTGTATGTTTCAGTCTCATAAACATATATTGTGCTTCCTCAGTCCATTGGCTGCATGCTGCGACACATAAATAACATGAGTCTCCTCCTCTTCCTCGCAGTTATGGCTTTAGCGACCTCTGTAACGATGAAGACAATGGCAGTGCTAACGTTAGCGGTTAGCATCGGGAAACACAAGAGCGGGCTAGCATCACACGCTTATGTGCTTTGTACGGAGGCCCTCAAGGGTCACACGGGAATGAGTATTACCATGGATCTGTAATCATATCTGTTATAGTATTACCATGGGTCTATACTCATATCTGTTATAGTATTACCATGGGTCTATAATCATATTTGTTATAGTATTACCATGGGTCTATAATCATATTTGTTATAGTATTACCATGGGTCTATAATCATATTTGTTATAGTATTACCATGGGTCTATAATCATATTTGTTATAGTATTACCATGGGTCTATAATCATATTTGTTATAGTATTACCATGGGTCTATAATCATATCTGTTATTCTTGGGTTTCATGAACCTGGCCAGTAGAGGGCGCATGAGCAGAGGTGGGACAGTTTTGCTCCCATTGAAAACCATGTAAAGTCTGTTTTGGAGCCAAAGGCTCTCCTCCTGTGCGGTGTACGGTTGTTGGAACAGTCTTAATCAGAGACACTCAATTCTAAGGGAGAACTAACAAATATTTATCAAAAGAGTCTTGATTTTGGGCACGTTTGAAAAAAAAAAACCAGAAGAAAGTCCTGCGTTTCATTGTGGTGGCCTGCGGGGGGCGCTTCTCTGGGAAAGCCTTGATCCACCTCGCCCGCCTCATTCCAGTGATTTTTCCAAAGTGTCCTCCTTTATATGAGACCACAGTTGGAACATGAACAAACTCTTGTCTTTCTCTTTATTTGTGCAGTTGCTACAAGCGTACACCGCACAAAAAGATGGTGTTTTGACAGCGCTTCTTCTTCTACTATATCTCCTTGTATAAACCACTTCTTCTTCTACTATATCTCCGTGTATAAACCACTTCTTCTTCTACTATATCTCCGTGTATAAACCACTTCTTCTTCTACTATATCTCCGTGTATAAACCGCTTCTTCTTCTACTATATCTCCGTGTTTAAACCCGGCAGACTGCACCTCCAGGGTACGTCATGTCCTGAGCCTCCTTCAGCAGCAGCTGTGTACACAGCCTCCTTCAGCAGCAGCTGTGTACACAGCCTCCTTCAGCAGCAGCTGTGTACACAGCTTCCTTCAGGCGCGTTCAGACCAAAAGCTTCAAAAAGCTTTTGACGCGCTTCAACTGACGCTGGGATAGTTTTGTCATTTTGGTGCTTGAAGCTTTTGACGCGAGTGACGCGCCTGACGCCGGTGGGAGGAGCTTCTCTGTTGCCTGTAGTCAGGACAGCGGTGGATTTTTCAATGAGCAGCGAGCCTTTATTTGTTATATAAAGCAAAATAACGTTGTTGTAGGGCTTCAACAAAACATGTTCTGGGTTCACCACAGACTTGAGAGGCTGCAGTGTTTGCAGAGTTCCGTCATTTACTCCAGGAGCTGCGTACGGAGGAGTTTCGCTTTCAGCGGTACTTCCGCATGTCACTCACCCAGTCTGAGTTCCCAAATCCCGGAGCTCGCCTCTCCCCGCCTCGCTCTCGCCTCTCCCCGCCTCGCTCTCGCCTCTCCCTGCCTCTCCCCGGCTCTCGCCCGCCCGGAGCTGCCTTGCTCTGAGCCAGACTCATCGTCAGCCTGTTCTTATATTAAATAAACTACGTTTACTACACAGCATGTGTACAATGATTTTGTTACTCAGAACGTTACTACTCATACAAATAATATTACTAATAACAATAATGACAATAAAACAGCAGCAGCAGATACATGACTTCTCTCCATGACAGAGACAGACCCTCTGCTGCTGCTGCTCCTCGTCTCCTGATTGGTTGAAGCCCGCGTCAAAGCTTCAAAAGCTCAGCTTTGCTCAACTTCGGCGTCAAAGGGATTGTTTTGATACGCGAGCGTTTCGCGCGTCAAAAGCTTCAAGTGAGCGCGTAGTACGCGCGACTCTTGAAGCTTTTGACGCGCGTCAAGTGACGCCGGGGCTCTCGGCTTCACCTGACGCGCTTCACCATTCACTTTCAATGCAAACCTGACGCTTTTGACGCCGAAGTTAAGTCCGGTGTGAACGCCCCTTTCAGCCCGTACTAGTGTGTGGCGGATATACTTCAGTATCAGATAAATTGAGCTGATCAAAAAATCCACACAACGTCTTCTTTAATTTGATGAAATCTATTTGAAAATGAGAAAAATGCTACTTTCGTAAACTGTTTGTTTCTGATCAGGTCCAATGAGACGCCCCTGAACCAGTCAAATAACACAACGTTAGCGTTAGCGTTAGCATTAGCTAACCAAGTCTCAGCAAAGAGTTAACACTGAAATCTGTGTACAGCACATTGTTTACAACTGTTTCTTTTGAAAACGATGAAAGAGCTGTGCTAGCGCTAGCTCCCGCTCCTGCGCAGAGGCCTCAGGTCCGTGTTTGGGGAATTCCAAGATGAAATGTTTTATTCCTCAATAAGTACGACATCAGTGCAGTATTTTGTAATCCTTGTTGTTGTAAAGTGCTAAACAAAGAACGATGTATCATCATTATTATTATTATTATTATTAATAAAATAACATATAATACATGAAGAATCCAAAGTGAAGCCAGGAGGGCGGGTTATTGCAGATCTCTGTACAGTGACTGGTCGTTACAGCTGTCAGTAAAGAGGACTCTGACTGACACTCAGGAGCAGTATTGCGTTCAGCCTCCAGGGGGCGACACATCTCCTGGCTTCACTTGGACTCTGCTTGTTCCCACACTGCAGAGAACAGACAGACAGCACCCTCTCGTGGCCGCGTCCGGTGGTACAGCCGCATTTTCTGAGCGCTTTAACCAAGACCCTTCCACAGAATAACATTCAAACTTGAAATAGTGTTCTTCTCTCTGAGCCCAAGACTCTCTCTAAGATGAAGACACGTGTTGTGGTCTGAGACTAAAGTTACGTACCCCAGCTTTAAACATATGTTCATCATTAACAACATTAATATTGACCATTATTTAAGTCCCATTGAGATTTTAAGATCTCGTTTCCAGAGGAGTCCTGGCCCCAGAGACTGAGGCTGATATACATGTGGCAAACCGGAGCACCTGGAGGAAACCTACACAGACACAGAGAGGCCCTGTCTGGAGGTGGGATCAAACACAGGACCTTTTTGCTGAGAAGCAAGAGTGCTAACCACTCAGCCACTGCGCCAAAGGAATTTTATTATTTTGTAAACGCAAGATGGCCGCCACACGCCTCACTGAGCGCCCTCTGCAGGTGGGGAGAGGGGGGGGGGGGGGGGCCTCAGGTTGGGACACGTTTCAAATAAGTCACATGTGAAAGTATTGCAGTGTTTCTCAAACTGTGGTGCGTGTGTTTTAAAGCTGGGGCACTTGCTGGGGCAAGTTACATACCCCAGCTTTAATAACACTACTATATTTGTTTGGGCTTTTTCACATTCAGTCAGAACTACTGTCACAGGTGTAGTCCTACATTAGACCTGGACCTGTACCTGGTGTAGACCTGGACCTAGACCTTGTGTAGACCTGGTTCAGACCTTGTGCAGTGATGGATGAATTGAAAAACAATAATGATAGTTGTAGCTCCAGTGCAATGATTGACTTGTGCTTCCATTAGCGCCTGTTAGCTCCCGTTAGATTTTGTTAGCTCCTGGTGGCTCCTGTTAGCTCCTGTTAGCTCCCGTTAGCTCCTGTTAGCTCCCGTTAGCTTTTGTAAGCTCCTGTTAGCTCCTGGTGGCTCCCGTTAGCTCCTGTTAGCTCCCGTTAGCTCCCGTTAGCTCCAGTTAGCTCCCGTTAGCTCCCGTTAGCTCCAGTTAGCTCCCGTTAGCTCCAGTTAACCCTGTTAGGGTTCGAGTGAGTCAAGACTTTATATATTTTCATGTGGAGTGACCAGTGGCTTTATCTGGTCTTTACATGCTGTGTGTGAGGACGTCTACACCGTGACATCACAGACCCTGGTGTGTGACATCACAGACCCTGGTGTGTGACATCACAGGCCCTGGTGTGTGACATCACAGACCCTGGTGTGTGACATCACAGACCCTGGTGTGTGACATCACAGGCCCTGGTGTGTGACATCACAGACCCCTGGTGTGTAGATGTGACATCACAGACCCTGGTGTGTGACATCACAGGCCCCCGGTGTGTGACATCACAGACCCTGGTGTGTGACATCACAGGCCCTGGTGTGTGACATCACAGACCCTGGTGTGTGACATCACAGACCCCTGGTGTGTGACATCACAGGCCCTGGTGTGTGACATCACAGACCCCTGGTGTGTAGATGTAACATCACAGACCCTGGTGTGTGACATCACAGGCCCTGGTGTGTGACATCACAGACCCCTGGTGTGTAGATGTGACATCACAGGCCCCTGGTGTGTGACATCACAGACCCCTGGTGTGTGACATCACTTGTAGAGCAGGGGGATCTGGCTGGAGTGGCAGTGGTTGCGGCTCATCTTTCCCTCGGGGGGGTAGATGCTCTGGGGGATGGGCTCGCTGGGGTACCCGGGGGGGGGCAGCAGGGACTTGGGTTCAGGGTGTCCACCGGGAGCGCTGTTGTGGTTCTGGGCGTTAGAGCGACGTCTGCTCCTCAGGGCCTGACGCTCGGCCAGCTGGGTCCTCAGAGCGGACACTCTCTCTTCCTTCTGCAGAGACACAGAGACATGGACACAGAGACATGTGAGGACACAGAGACATGTGAGGACACAGAGACATGTGAGGACACAGAGACATGTGAGGACACAGAGACATGTGAGGACACAGAGACATGTGAGGACACAGAGACATGGACACAGACACATGTGAGGACACAGAGACATGTGAGGACACAGAGACATGGACACAGAGACACATCATGTGGTGTGTGTCTGATGGTGTGTGTCTGATGGTGTGTGTCTGTGTCTGATGGTCTGTGTCTGTGTCTGATGGTGTGTGTGTGTCTGGTTGTGTTCCTGGTTGTGTGTTTGCTGGTGTGTGTCTGGTTGTGTGTCTGCTGGTTGTGTGTCTGCTGGTGTGTCTGGTTGTGTGTGTCAGCTGGTGTGTGTCTGAGTGTGTGTGTGTCTGGTTGTGTGTCTGCTGATGTCTGTTGTTGTTTGCTGGTGTCTGCTGGTGTTTGTTGGTGTCTGCTGGTGTGTGTCTGCTGGTGCGTGTCCGTTTGTGTGTCTGTTGGTGTCTGCTGGTGTGTGTCTGCTGTTGTCCGCTGGCGTGTGTCGGTTGTGTGTCTGAGTGTGTGTCTGTTGGTGTCTGCTGGTGTGTGTCTGATTATGTGTCTGGTTGTGTGTGTCTGGTTGTGTGCCTGGTTGTGTGTTTGCTGGTGTGTGTCTGGTTGTGTGCCTGGATGTGTGTCTGGTTGTGTGTCTGCTGGTGTGTGTGTCTGGTTGTGTGTCTGCTGGTGTGTCTGGTTGTGTGTGTCTGCTGGTGTCTGCTGTTGTCTGCTGGTGTTTGTTGGTGTCTGCTGGTGTGTGTCTGCTGGTGTCTGCTGGTGTGTGTCTGAGTGTGTGTCTGTTGGTGTCTGCTGGTGTGTGTCCGGTTGTGTCTGCTGGTGTCTGCTGGTGTGTGTCTGATTATGTGTCTGCTGGTGTGTGTTGCTGGTGTGTGTCTGGTTGTGTGTCTGCTGGTGTGTGTTGCTGGTACCTCCTGGATGATCTTCTGCAGCTCTCTGTTCTCTCGCTCCAATTGTCTGGATTTCTCTTCGTCGTTGTTGTTTGTGGAGGATCCAGTCTTCAGTGTGTCCTGCTGCTCAGACTGCCACTCCCCCCGAGTGATGAGGCGGCGGATCTGCACCAGGAAAGACCCTCAACATCACCTCATCACACCCTCAACATGACCTCATCACACCCTCAACATGACCTCAACATCACCTCATCACACCCTCAACATCACCTCATCACACCCTCAACACCACCTCATCACACCCTCAACAGGACCTCATCACACCCTCAACATCACCTCAACATCACCTCATCACACCCTCAACATCACCTCATCACATCCTCAACAGGACCTCATCACACCCTCAACATGACCTCATCACACCCTCAACATCACCTCAACATCACCTCATTACACCCTCAACAGGACCTCATCACACCCTCAACATCACCTCATCACACCCTCAACATGACCTCAACATGACCTCATCACACCCTCAACATGACCTCATCACACCCACAACATGACCTCAACATGACCTCATCACACCCTCAACATGACCTCAACATGACCTCATCACACCCTCAACATCAGGTTTGAGAGGTCTACTGTGGTAGAAGTCCTGGACCTCAGCCTGGATGGAGCTAAACACAGCCTCAGACCTCAGCCTGGATGGAGCTAAACACAGCCTCAGACCTCAGCCTGGATGGAGCTAAACACAGCCTCAGACCTCAGCCTGGATGGAGCTAAACACAGCCTCAGACCTCAGCCTGGATGGAGCTAAACACAGCCTCAGACCTTGGGCACGAACAGCACGACCAGAGTGATGTAGGCAGAGAAGACCACAGCGAGAGACGCGAAGGCGAAGGACGCATCCTGCTGCGACGACAGGATCATGGTCACAGGAGCCGTGATGAGACAAAGGACCTGGAGGAGACCGGAGGGAGACCACAGTGAGACCAGAGGGAGACCAGAGTGGGACCAGAGGGAGACCAGAGGGAGACCAGAGGGAGACCAGAGAGAGAGACCAGAGGGAGACCAGAGCGAGACCAGAGAGAGAGACCAGAGGGAGACCAGAGAGAGAGACCAGAGGGAGACCAGAGAGAGAGACCAGAGAGAGAGACATCTCTCCTGGTAAGTATGGTAACTACGGAGACACTCACAGCCACGTTGTAGATCGCCATGCCAACCGCTCGGTGGTCGTTGATCTTCTCTGTCGACACAGACTTTGTTTCATAGGCAAGAAATATACCCAGCAGCAGGAGCAGGCCTTTGTACCCATACACCACACCTGTGGGGGAGACAGGGGGGAGAGAGGGGGAGAGAGGGTGAGAGAGGGTGAGAGGAGGCCTTTGTACCCATACACCACACCTGTGGGGGAGACAGGGGGGAGAGAGGGGGAGAGAGGGTGAGAGGAGGCCTTTGTACCCATACACCACACCTGTGGGGGAGACAGGGGGGAGAGAGGGTGAGAGGAGGCCTTTGTACCCATACACCACACCTGTGGGGGAGACAGGGGGAGAGAGGGTGAGAGAGGGTGAGAGGAGCCCTTTGTACCCATACACCACACCTGTGGGGGGAGAGGGTGAGAGAGGGTGAGAGGAGGCCTTTGTACCCATACACCACACCCGTGGGGGAGAAAGGGGGGAGAGAGGGGGAGAGAGGTTGAGAGGAGGCCTTTGTACCCATACACCACACCTGTGGGGGAGACAGGGGGGAGGAGAGGGGGAGAGAGGGTGAGAGAGGGTGAGAGGAGGCCTTTGTACCCATACACCACACCTGTGGGGGAGACAGGGGGGAGAGAGGGGGAGAGAGGGGGAGAGAGGGTGAGAGAGGGTGAGAGGAGGCCTTTGAACCCATACACCACACCTGTGGGGGAGAGAGGGTGAGAGAGGGTCAGAGGAGGCCTTTATACTCATACACAACACCAGTGGGGGGGAGAGAGGGGGGAGAGAGGGGGAGAGAGGGTGAGAGGAGGCCTTTATACCCATACACAACACCTGTGGGGGAGACAGGGGGGAGAGAGGGGGAGAGAGGGTGAGAGAGGGTGAGAGGAGGCCTTTATACCCATACACCACACCTGTGGGGGGAGACAGGGGGGAGAGGGGGGAGAGAGGGAGAGTGAGGGGGGGAGAGCTTTGGATGGATCACTTCAAACAAATCTGTACCATGTGTCGATCTCACCTCAAGCAGCAATAAAATAAATGTGTGAAACTCACAGACACACACACATAGTATTATAGTGTGTGTGTCTGTGTGTGTGTGTGTGTGTGTGTGTGTGTGTGTGTGTGTCTGTGTGTGTGTCTGTGTGTGTCTGTGTCTGTGTGTGTGTCTGTATGTGTGTGTGTGTCTGTGTGTCTGTGTCTGTGTGTGTGTGTGTGTGTGTGTGTCTGTGTCTGTCTGTGTGTGTGTCTGTATGTGTGTGTGTGTCTGTGTGTCTGTGTGTGTGTGTGTCTGTGTGTGTGTGTGTGTGTGTCTGTGTCTGTCTGTGTCTGTGTGTGTGTCTGTATGTGTGAGTGTGTCTGTGTGTGTGTGTGTCTGTGTCTGTGTGTGTCTGTATGTGTGTGTGTGTCTGTGTGTCTGTGTCTGTGTGTGTGTGTGTGTGTGTGTGTGTGTCTGTGTGTGTGTGTTGTTACCCAGCCATGTGTTGATCTTGTCAGAGCTGCAGTGTTCGAGCAGAGGCTGAATCAGGACGTCCAGGTCTTCTTTAGGAGCCTCCTTTGTAAACTTCTACTCAAGACACAGACACACACACACACACACAGACATAGACACACAGACACAGACACACACACACACACAGACATAGACACACAGACATAGACACACAGACATACACACACAGACATAGACACACACACACACACACACACACACACACACACACACACACACACACACACACACACACACACACACACACACACACACACACACACACACACACACACACACACACACACAGACACACAAACACACAAAGTTAAAATTAAAATGTGTCGATGTGTGTGTCTGTGTGTGTGTCTGTGTGTGTGCTGTGTGTGTGTGTGTCTGTGTGTCTGTGTGTGTGTGTGTGTGTGTATGTCTGTGTGTGTGCTGTGTGTGTGTGTGTCTGTGTGTGTGTCTGTGTGTCTGTGCTGTGTGTGTGTGTGTGTATGTCTGTGTGTGTGTGTGTGTGTGTGTCTGTGTGTGTCTGTGCTGTGTGTGTGTGTGTGTGTGTGTGTATGTCTGTGTGTGTGTGTGTGTGTGTGTGTGTGTCTGTGTGTCTGTGTGTGTGTCTGTGTCTGTGTGTGTCTGTTGTGTGTGTGTGTGTGTGTGTCTGTGTGTGTACCTCAATGGTGATGTGTAATGGGTCTACTATCTGCCAGATCATCAGAGACAGAAAGTCCACAGAGAGAAGAGCACCAGCTGTGGCATAGAGCTTCCATGGTTCTAACTGCTGCTGTAGAGAGACCAGCAATATACAATCAGAGACCAGAGAGAGACCAGAGAGAGACCAGAGAGAGACCAGAGAGAGACCAGAGAGAGACCAGAGAGAGACCAGAGAGAGACTAGAGAGAGAGACCAGAGAGAGAGACCAGAGAGAGACCAGAGAGAGAGACCAGAGAGAGACCAGAGAGAGAGACCAGAGGGAGACCAGAGAGAATGACCAGAGAGAGACCAGAGAGAGACCAGAGAGCATATTCTCACCTTCTTCTTCTCTTCCTTCTTGGTGAACAGAGTATGAACCCACCAGATCTTTGTGAACATGGAACCATAGGCCACCGAGAAACCAAGGCCCAGTAGCCAGAGGCGGAACTACAACACACACACACACACAGACACACACACACACGTCCTGTTATTGCATCTCGCCCTCTTGCTCTGGTTCCCCAGCACCTGACGCAGACCTTGTTTGGTGACGTCTGAGCCGGCATATGTATACTGATATACTGATATATATATATATATATATATATATATATATATATATATATATATATATATATATATATATATATATATATATATATATATATATATATTACTGTACAAATGTGTAATTAATATCCACTGTTGTATATCCAATAGTTTACAGACAACAACTAAACACCAAATATGGGTTTGTCCTGTACTAAAAAAGCATTAGAAGGAGATGCTACGTTTATGCTAAGACAAAATTCAGAGGCATTTAAGTTGAAAGTCTGAGAACAGTAATGGACCCACTAAACATCCGACGTCCACTCAACCTCCAGATCACGTCAATATCGCGTCGGTCGGTCGTGACCTTTTATTTACGTCCAAACGACGTCTGTGCAAGGTGCGCATCTGGACGTAAAACAATGACCTCCCATATACGTGGATATGACGTTCAATCCCGACCTCCCCTAGACGTCGAAAACAGGTCATCGGCCGACCGACGCAGTACGTCTTGATCTAGCAATACAATATATAGGCTGTGAAGCAACCTAAGTGTACCTGACGGTAGTGTAGTGGTTAAGCAAACGTGTGCAGTCTTGGTTACGTGGGTTCGAGCCCACGTGTGTGTATTATTATCTTTATATATTTGTTTTGATTTTTAACGAACAATTTTTTCCTGTTTGGTTAAAGACTAATAAACACTCAACATAGGATTACGTAGTGGCTAATAATAAAACTTGTGAATGTATGCATTTGTTGTGCTAACAATCTCAAGTTTGCAAATAAGGGGTGAGCACTTGAGATTTTATGCAAATGCATGGGTTCACAAGTTTTATTATTGGCCACTACATAATCTTATGTTGAGTGTTTATTCGTTTTTAACCAAACAGAAAAATTGTTCGCTAAAAAGTGAAAAGTCAAAAGTTTTCCGACGGGGATTTGAACCCGCGTCGTTGCGACTGAAGTCTCATTACGCAACCGCTACACCACGGCCAGGCATTTTAACTCACTACTGTGAAAAAATAATAGATAACACCCTAAACAACCGACTCACACTTATGCGCCGCGCGAGTATAACTTATAACTTTACAGCCTGACACGTGAGTCGCTCAGTCGAGGACCTGTTTTCCACGTCTAAACGACGTAAGGTGTGCATCTGGACGTAAAGCAATGCCTTCCCAGACGTTGATATGACGTTGAATCTGTACCTCTGTCGCTGCCCTGCTTTATTTACTTGGAATCATCCTCTCTAGTAAGTACACAGTCTGCACAGTTTTTAGATATAGATGTATCATTTCCACATTGAAAAGAGTTGGAGACAGAAAGTAAGTTGTTTTCTCACGTATACGTGGATTTTGTTAAGTATATTTTGTATATTATCTGTATTTTGAATTGCCAGTGCATGAATCTATAATAATAACGGCTGGCACTGCTCAGCTGAAAGGGAGACACCTTTTGTTAGTTTTTAAGTTAAAGTTTAAAATATGATATTGTTTTTCATATTTCAAACTATTTTTAACACATTAGAATTCTTAGGTTAGACTGTCCAACAAAGTATGTGTTAAAAAAGGTTAAGATTCTTGAGTTTTAAAATAATAATTCAATTCTAAAATGTAAAGTTACTGTATATTTCACAATGGTTTATAAACTGCAAAAAGACAACAGTACTTAGTAAACTAAGTTTAAAAACAGGGAGATCAGCTTTACTATTTGGGACACTCCCATCATTTAGACACCTGTGATGTCATAAGTTGGAGTTGAGTTCAGGTGTGGGACCATGTGGGACCATGTGGGACCATAGGAGCACACAGATGTTACCTGCTGCAGAAAGAGAGTTTAATGTTCATGTATTGCTTTGTTTAATAAATTGATTTAATGTCTTCCCAGGTCTTCAATGTCAGAGACTTTCACTTCTTCTCACTGTGGCTGTTTAAATGAGCCACTACAGTTGTTATTTTTGTTATTGTTAGCTGCAAATATTAAATATCCATTCATCTGCTGGTAGCAAGCTAACTAGCGCTTGCAACTCTATTCAATTTCTTACTTTTTCTTATAAACTTTAAAACCAGCCATATGTTAATTAAAATACATTTACCTTTGCTAATGCAGTCAATTATTGTGAAATCCATAAAGTATAATTTCATGATTGTTGCAATAACTAATGTTCTGTGTGTATTCCTAATGTGTCATGTGTGTTTGAGTCTTACAGGTGTCAGACTGTGTTAAAGGTGTTCAAAGGTAAGAATCACACTCTCACACATTGATTGTTGTTCTGTATTAATATGTTGTTTTTAGAATAAACCATTATTTGGTGTATTCTCTTTGAAAACATCTATCTTTTTCTCAGATTGTTCAGCAACTCACTCAAGATGAGGGAAAAGAGCAACACGGGGAAAATGCCCCCTCGGAAATGCAACATGTGTAGAGTAATACAGGGTAAGTAGCTTTCAGGGCTCATTTGTGTCCATGTGCAAAACAAATGCACATTTGCAATTGTTTTTTACATGGAATTACTCCAATGACCAAAGCCTTATCCCAAGTTTCTCAGACGGAGTGTCTTCCAGTGTCTCGAGCTAGTGCAGTGCCAAGGTTTGTATCACATGGTGATGGATCGAGTGGTTTGAGGCATTAATAGAAAGTTATGTGTTGTTATATCACTTTGCCACATTATGTTGAAACTAAACATGTTCCACATTTTCAGGTGCTGTGCTTGGACCTTATAATGAGACTGAAGACCAAGAGAGGACACATGTTGGAACCTCAACATTCAATAAATGCATTCTTCTGCCTTTCAGATTGTGTTTTTACATCTGGGGAACCTAGAGTGTAGCTTGTGCCTGTTTTAATACTGATCCAAACATAGGCGCTACAATCGTGTTTTTTTACTTTGGCATGAACTGTTCAGTACAGTAGTGTTCATAATACTGTGCCCTGTGTGGTTTAACTTGTACTTTGATGTAGAGACACATGATTTTTAATGCAGCTCCATTTGCAATAATGACTGATATCCTTCTACTACAGTTGTTCTAATGATTTTTGAATGCTGTGTTTATCGTTTATTGCCCAGAGTCAGAACTAAACATGATAAAGCTGCATTTCAGATTCACAAGGCTAAAATCTGGAACAGTCTTCCTGGAAATGTGAGACAGGCTTCTTCTTTGACAATGTTAAAATCCAGGTTTAAAACACTTCTGTTTCTGCTTCAACTGAGAGATTTTATGAGAGATTTTATTTGTTTCTTTTTAATTTACAGTCAATATTTATAATTGTAATGCCTTGTTTGATTGTTTCTTTTGTTCAGTGCTTTGAGTTTCCTTTTGTTTTGACTGTGCTATACAAATAAACTTGCCTTGCCTATTGCAAAAAGTATGTCTCGACCAGTGAGTGATTCTGCAGAGGTTAAGTATGTCAATAGGACTGTAAATGGACGTCATATAAACGTCAATATTTTGGTCATATAAGACGTCGAGAGGACGTCGGACCCGACCGGTTCTGTACCACATTGCAACCTTGAATGAAGTGGCCGCGACGTCATTTGAACGTCCAGATGACGTTGAAATGACATAGTTTTGACATCTGCTTGCTTAGTGGGAACAACGGAAAACGAACGTCATATGAAGGCAATATTTTGGTCATATAAGACGTTGATAGGACGTTGGACCCGACCGGTTCTGTACCACATTGCAACCTTGAATGAACGTCCAGATGACGTTGAAATGACATAGTTTTGACATCTGCTTGCTTAGTGGGAACGACTGAAAACGAACGTCATATAAACGTCAATATTTTGGTCATATGAGACGTTGATAGGACGTCAGACCCGACCGGTTCTGTACCACATTCAAACCTTGAATTGACGTGCCATCAACGTAACATTTGGAGGTTGAAGTGACGTCGGGAAACGACGTCGAGAAAACTTTCATTCTGCACCCACCAGTGACCTATATTCTACGTCGGACAACGACGTTCAAATTACGTTGATTCAACGTCGGCTTGCTTAGTGGGGAGCTTCGCGAAGGTTCACTCTGGTAGACTGATTGCCAAAGCTATACCCTCCAAACCTGCCTCTCATCCTCGGCCCATCACACAGCAAACGCCCATTCCCAGCCAACCTACTGTATGCAGGCCAGGCAAGCAGCTTAAAAGCGGAGACTCCCACTTCACGGGCTTCTCAAGCCTCGCAAAACTTCCTGATGGTGGCAGCAGCTGTGCCTTTATTAATACTGCTGCCTTTATTAATAGCGTTGCCTTTATTAATAGTGCTGCCTTTATTAATAGCGTTGCCTTTATTAATAGCGTTGCCTTTATTAATAGCGTTGCCTTTATTAATAGCGTTGCCTTTATTAATAGTGCTGCCTTTATTAATAGTGCTGCCTTTATTAATAGTGTTGCCTTTATTAATAGCGTTGCCTTTATTAATAGCGTTGCCTTTATTAATAGCGTTGCCTTTATTAATAGCGTTGCCTTTATTAATAGCGTTGCCTTTATTAATAGTGCTGCCTTTATTAATAGTGCTGCCTTTATTAATAGTGCTGCCTTTATTAATAGTGTTGCCTTTATTAATAGTGTTGCCTTTATTAATAGCGTTGCCTTTATTAATAGCGTTGCCTTTATTAATAGCGTTGCCTTTATTAATAGCGTTGCCTTTATTAATAGCGTTGCCTTTATTAATAGCGTTGCCTTTATTAATAGCGTTGCCTTTATTAATAGTGTTGCCTTTATTAATAGCGTTGCCTTTATTAATAGCGTTGCCTTTATTAATAGTGTTGCCTTTATTAATAGTGCTGCCTTTATTAATAGTGTTGCCTTTATTAATAGCGTTGCCTTTATTAATAGCGTTGCCTTTATTAATAGCGTTGCCTTTATTAATAGTCCATCCATCCATCCATTTTCTGCCCTTTAATCCATTTCTGGGTCAGGGGGGTGGCAGTCAGAGATGCCACCCAAGTCTCATAGCACCAGCCCCCTATTTATTAATAGTGTTGCCTTTATTAATAGTGTTGCCTTTATTAATAGCGTTGCCTTTATTAATAGCGTTGCCTTTATTAAAAGCGTTGCCTCACTGATCTAATTCTCACGCTCAAATAATTTGTCCTGCCAAACCCAGAACAAACTCAAAGCCTTTTGGGGGAATGTGCGCGCACTCAGCAGGTGCCTCGCTGGCCCTAATTGCCGCACGGGGGCCTAGGACGCCAAACTACCTATCAATAAATACATTCAAACTGCATTTTGTCTGCTGAGTCTCTCCAGATTGAAATATGGGTTTGAAGGTAGTTTAACTATAAAAGAGTGTTTGTGTGAGCTCTCAGTCGTACAGGGATTAGTCAAAGGAAGGTTTCTCACCCATCATCTGTACTTCTTAGCAGGTTTTCCCTAGGAAGCACAGATGATGGGTGAGAAACCTTCCTTTGCTATAAAAGAGTGTGAAATGGTGCAGGTTAGCTTGAGACTTAAATCCAGAAGAAAGGCAATAGGAAAACAAATGCATGAACAGAAAATGGCAGAGTTGTGGCTGGAAGCTGCAAAGTGTAGAGACAGACAGATAAAAGAGAAAAAGAACAAGGTCACAACAGAAGAAGATGCCCTGGACATCAACAGCAACCATTACAGCACGGACAAAGCAGGCTGCATCACAAGCTCGTCGTCCCACAGGGTGAAGACTGCACCCCACCCACTGTCAGCTCCTCCCATAAAACTCCAGGACACTGTGTATCCGCATACAGAGCTGGAAGCAGCAGCATGTCCAATGACTGAAGAGCCCCATCCTACACATGATCCAGGGGTAGAAAGTTTGCCTACTGTGTATGTCTTTCGTACATGGACAAAAGCGGACATAATAAAAGCCACAGAGAGTGTCCCGAACCATAGAGAAGATCCAGTTGGGTTTTGTGATGCTATGACCCAGATAGTGGACATGTACCGGCTTAACGGGATTGAAATCAGGGACATTTACGTGACTAAAATGGGAGTTGGGCCCGATGTAGACAACACTATAACCCACATAACGCTGCAAACCCACCTGGGCCTCCTCCTGCAGCTGACCCACTCATTGAAGGTCGATTCAATACTCTACATAATCATATCAAAGAAATGTTCAAGACTTTCCCTGACTACGGGAAGTTCAGGTGAGACAAAAGGAGGATGAGACGGTGGTGGATTTTAGAGCTCGTTTTGAAATAGCTTTTTGGAAACACAGTGGTTCAATGGACAGTAATGCAGCAGAGCAAGTCATTTGGGACCAGCAGTTCAAACAAGGGATGTTAGCTAATCTAAGACCAGAAGTCTCTGAATGGATAAAGAAACATTATGTTGGATTCCCTACTGCGACTCTGCCTGACTTTACGACACATGCGATCCATGCTGAAGTAGTTGCAAGAAACAAAAAGAAAAACAGAGAAAAAGAACACCAAGCTATAGCCATAGACGCTTTTGCATGATTTAGGCAACATGTTTTATCAGGCAGCACGACAACGATCAGGCAGATGGAGTCAGGGAAGAGGTCAGAGTAGTCAGGCTGATGGAGTCAGGGAAGAGGTCAGAGTAGTCAGGCTGATGGAGTCAGGGAAGAGGTCAGAGTAGTCAGGCTGATGGAGTCAGGGAAGAGGTCAGAGTAGTCAGGCTGATGGAGTCAGGGAAGAGGTCAGAGTAGTCAGGCTGATGGAGTCAGGGAAGAGGTCAGAGTAGTCAGGCAGGCTGATGGAGTCAGGGAAGAGGTCAGAGTAGTCAGGCTGATGGAGTCAGGGAAGAGGTCAGAGCAGTCAGGCAGATGGAGTCAGGGAAGAGGTCAGAGTAGTCAGGCAGATGGAGTCGGGGAAGAGGCCAGAGTAGGGCTCCGGCGAAGAATAGAAGTCAGAAAACAGGGGACCCAAACCATGACTTTTGTTTCAGATGCAAACAGAAAGGTCATTGGGCATTGTCCAGAAACAAGTCCAGATGAAGAAGAGGGGAAAGAATGCTGGGGGAAAAGAGAGATGAGTCAGAAACAACCTAATGCATGATGAGGGAGACATGATAAAACAAAAAGTAATGACAAAGAGGAACAAGAGACAAAATTATACAGAAAAATATCTCAAAAGTAACGACTCCCAAAACAACATCTGAAAATGAAAATGTTTCAGACTCAGGAAAAGAATGTGATGAGTTCCTCGACCTTACCCAATTAGATATTCATCTTGTGGTAGTTACATGCAGAGAATGCTACTACTCGAGTAACCCTCGCTAAAGAGGTTACATGCAGAGAATGCTACTACTCGAGTAACCCTGGACAAAGAGGTTACACGGCAACTGCTATCTCAGCTTAAGATTGATGAGGTAAAACACATGTATAATGCCACAGTTGCCGAGGTCAGAGGGGAGATCCCACCAACTGCAACTCCCCAACCAGATATTGGGTACATAGCCCCAATGGAACCGATAACGCTGAACGAGGCAGCGACTGACCTGAAAGCTAAGATCATGGCTAGAATGGGCACAGGGCAAAGACACCGGTTACAGCGGTTGTGTGAAGTACCACCTAAGGATCTCATAGAAAGCCTGAATGCAGCAGTGAGGGCAATACCTACCACCACAATCACTGAAACCAATGAGCTGATATACAGTACCTTGCAAAAGTATTCGGCCCCCTTGAACCTTTCAACATTTCGCCACATTTCAGGCTTCAGACATAAAGATATAAAAAATATTTTTTTGTCAAGAATCAACAACAAGTGGGACACAATCGTGAAGTGGAACAAAATGTATTGGATAATTTAAACTTTTTTAACAAATAAAAAACTGAAAAGTGGGGCGTGCAATATTATTCGGCCCCTTTACTTTCAGTGCAGCAAACTCACTCCAGAAGTTCAGTGAGGATCTTTGAATGATCCAATGTTGTCCTAAATGACTGATGATGATAAATAGAATGCACCTGTGTGTAATCAAGTCTCCGTATAAATGCACCTGCTCTTTGATAGTCTCAGGGTTCTGTTTAAAGCGCAGAGAGAACCATGAAGACAAAGGAACACACCAGGCAGGTCCGAGATACTGTTGTGGAGAAGTTTAAAGCCGGATTTTGATACAAAAAGATTTCCCAAGCTTTAAACATCTCAAGGAGCACTGTGCAAGCAGTTATATTGAAATGGAAGGAGTATCAGACCACTGCAAATCTACCAAGACCCGGCCGTCCCTCCAAACTTTCATCTCAAACAAGGAGAAGACTGATCAGAGATGCAGCCAAGAGGCCCATGATCGCTCTGGATGAACTGCAGATAACTACAGCTGAGGTGTCCATAGGACAACAATCAGTTGTGCACTGCACAAATCTGGCCTTTATGGAAGAGTGGCCATTTCTCAAAGATATCCAATAAAAGTCTCTTAAAGTTTGCCACAAGCCACCTGGGAGACACACCAAACATGTGGAAGAAGGTGCTCTGGTCAGATGAAACCAAAATCAAACTTTTTGGCCACAATGCAAAACGATATGTTTGGCGTAAAAGCAACACAGCTCATGACCCTGAACACACCATTCCCACCTCAGCTGTAGTTATCTGCAGTTCATCCAGAGTGATCATGGGCCTCTTGGCTGCATCTCTGATCAGTCTTCTCCTTGTTTGAGATGAAAGTTTGGAGGGACGGCAGGGTCTTAGTAGATTTGCAGTGGTCTGATACTCCTTCCATTTCAACATAATTGCTTGCACAGTGCTCCTTGAGATGTTTAAAGCTTGGGAAATCTTTTTGTATCCAAATCCGGCTTTAAACTTCTCCACAACAGTATCTCGGACCTGCCTGGTGTGTTCCTTTGTCTTCATGGTTCTCTCTGCTCTTTAAACAGAACCCTGAGACTATCAAAGAGCAGGTGCATTTATACGGAGACTTGATTACACACAGGTGCCTTCTATTTATCATCATCAGTCATTTAGGACAACATTGGATCATTCAAAGATCCTCACTGAACTTCTGGACTGAGTTTGCTGCACTGAAAGTAAAGGGGCCGAATAATATTGCACGTCCCACTTTTCAGTTTTTTATTTGTTAAAAAAGTTTAAATCATCCAACAAATTTCATTCCACTTCACGATTGTGTCCCACTTGTTGCTGATTCATGACAAAAAATTGAAATTTTATATCTTTATGTTTGAAGCCTGAAATGTGGCGAAATGTTGAAAGGTTCAAGGGGGCCGAATACTTTCGCACGGCACTGTACACTTCAGCAGCAGTGATCCTAGAGATGCTTGGCTATAAGAGCACCCATGGGAGCCATGGAAAAGACGGAGGCTGAGGTCAAGGCGGCTCGGAGAGAAGTGACACTATGAACCTATTATTGTTTCAATAATATTTGTGTGTGCGTAACCAGATTTGTGTGTGTGTAAAAAGATGTGTGTGTGTGTGTGTGCGTGTGTGTGTCTGTGTGTGTACCTGACAGACCACAGGGAACTGTGAGCGGTGGATGTGGTGTCCGTCGATGCCCAAAGGAAAGACCGCGGCCAGAGCCATGATGCAGCCGACAGCGGTCATGTTGTTTAGGTACGGCTGAGAGTTCTGGATGTACCTGAGACAGAGACAGAGACACTGAGACAGAGACACTGAGACAGAGACACTGAGACAGAGATAGAGACACTGAGACAGAGACACTGAGACAGAGACAATGAGACAGAGACAGAGACACTGAGACAGAGACTGAGACAGAGACACTGAGACAGAGACACTGAGACAGAGACAGAGACACTGAGACAGAGACAGATACACTGAGACAGAGACCCTGAGACAGAGACACTGAGACAGAGACAGAGACACTGAGACAGAGACCCTGAGACAGAGACAGAGACACTGAGACAGAGACACTGAGACAGAGACAGAGACCCTGAGACAGAGACACTGAGACAGAGACACTGAGACACAGACACTGAGACAGAGACAGAGACACTGAGACAGAGACAGAGACACTAAGACAGAGACACTGAGACACTGAGACAGAGACACTGAGACAGAGACAGAGACACTGAGACAGAGACACTGAGACAGAAACAGAGACACTGAGACAGAGACAGAGAGACACTGAGACACTGAGACAGAGACACTGAGACAGAGACACTGAGACAGAGACACAGAGACAGAGACACTGAGACAGAGACACAGAGACAGAAACAGAGACACTGAGACAGAGACAGAGAGACACTGAGACAGAGACACTGAGACAGATACACTGAGACAGAGACAGAGACACTGAGACACTGAGACAGAGACACTGAGACACTGAGACAGAGACACTGAGACACTGAGACAGAGACACTGAGACAGAGACACTGAGAAAGAGACACTGAGACACTGAGACTGAGACACTGAGACAGAGACACTGAGACAGAGACAGAGACACTGAGACAGAGACACTGAGACAGAGACACTGAGACAGAGACAGAGAAACTGAGACAGAGACACTGAGACAGAGACACTGAGACTGAGACAGAGACAGAGACACTGAGACAGAGACAGAGAGACTGAGACAGAGACAGAGACACTGAGACAGAGACAGAGTCACTGAGACAGAGACACTGAGACAGAGACACTGAGACAGAGACAGAGACACTGAGACAGAGAGACACTGAGACAGAGACATTGAGACAGAGACAGAGACACTGAGACAGAGATAGAGATAGAGACAGAGACACTGAGACAGAGACAGAGACACTGAGACAGAGACACTGATACAGAGACACTGAGACACTGAGACAGAGACACTGAGACAGACACACTGAGACAGAGACACTGAGACAGAGACAGAGACACTGAGACACTGAGACTGAGACAGAGACAGAGACACTGAGACACTGAGACAGAGACACTGATACAGAGACACTGAGACAGAGACAGAGACACTGAGACACTGAGACAGAGACACTGAGACAGAGACACTGAGACAGAGACACTGAGACACTGAGATTGAGACACTGAGACAGAGACACTGAGACAGAGACACTGAGACACTGAGACACTGAGACAGAGACACTGAGACAGAGACAGAGACACTGAGACAGAGACACTGAGACAGAGACAGAGACACTGAGACTGAGAGACTGAGACAGCGACAGAGACACTGAGACAGAGACAGAGACACTGAGACTGAGAGACTGAGACAGAGACAGAGACACTGAGACAGAGACACTGAGACAGAGACAGAGAGGGTCTTACCTCACGTTGCTGTTGTAGATGTTGAAACTGAGGCAGATAATCCCGAGGACGATTCCCAAACCAGCGAAGACCGAGACCGCAGCGAAAAGCTTCTGAGACAGATATCTGTAAACCTCCCGGACCACGGTCCTGTCCGCGGGAGGACCAGACCCTGGACACACAGGTCTAAAGCCTCAGTCCTGGGTCTACAGCCTCAGTCCTGGGTCTACAGCCTCAGTCCTGGGTCTACAGCCTCGGTCCTGGGTCTACAGCCTCAGTCCTGGGTCTACAGCCTCAACCCTGGGTCTACAGCCTCAGCCCTGGGTCTACAGCCTCGGCCCTGGGTCTACAGCCTCAGTCCTGGGTCTACAGCCTCAGTCCTGGGTCTACAGCCTCGGTCCTGGGTCTACAGCCTCAGTCCTGGATCTACAGCCTCAGTCCTGGATCTACTGAGTCCTGGGTCTACAGCCTCAGTCCTGGGTCTACAGCCTCAGGTAGTATTGGTAGATCGCCTTATATAAAAAAAAAACTCTGTTTATGCATTTGCTGTGGACAGAGAAAACCAGAGTTTTGTGTTTTCACACGTCACAGTCTGCTCCAAAACAACAACAAACACAACGTGTGACCTCTGACCTCTGACCTCTGATCACTGAAGAAGGATCTCACTGCCTTAAAAACTGTTCATCCTCCACATCAGAGAGCAGCAAAGTGATCAGGCACGCTCAAAAACAACCAAACAGGAGCTAAACCAGGGCTTAACCAGGGCTAAACCAGGACTAAACCAGGACTAAACCAGGGCTAAACCATGACTAAACTAGGGCTAAACCAAGAATAAACCAGGACTAAACCAGGGCTAAACCAGGACTGAACCAGGACTAAACCAGGACTAAACCAGGACTAAACCAGGGCTAAACCAGGACTAAACCAGGACTAAACCAGGACTAAACCAGGGCTAAACCAAGACTAAACCAGGACTGAACCAGGACTAAACCAAGGCTAAACCAGGACTAAACCAGGACTAAACCAGGGCTAAACCAAGACTAAACCAGGACTAAACCAGGACTAAACCAGGGCTAAACCAGGACTAAATCAGGACTAAACCAGGACTAAACCAGGGCTAAACCAGGACTGAACCAGGACTAAACCAGGACTAAACCAGGACTAAACCAGGGCTAAACCAGGGCTAAACCAGGACTAAACCAGGACTAAACCAGGACTAAACCAGGACTAAACTAGGACTGAGGGTCAGTGCTTGTGTGACGGTAAAAGTGCTGCTACAGAAGCACCGGCGTCTGCATCTAAGCTCCGCCCACTTCTGTGTTTTCCCGCCGCAGGACGTCAGAGACGCACGTGTTTGGAATGTTATGAATGTGATTGAAAACACAGATGTTCGTTATGTGTGGATGCAAATTATTTCATAAATCATGTGGTTTTACAAGAACATCAACAAACATTATAGATATAAAGAATCCTCAATATATTTATAAATAAAAACATGTTTGGCAGTTTTGTAGAAGGTCAGTTTATAAGGAGCTCAGAATCTGAAAAACTGTGAGCTCCCCTGATCTACAGCTTCAGGGGCTACAACACTAACCTCCTCCTACTCCTCCCTCCTGCACCTCCTCCTCCTGCACCTCCTCCTCCCCCTCCTCCTCCTCCTTCACCTCCTCCTCCTCCTCCTCCTTCACCTCCTTCTCCCCCTCCTCCTCCTCCTTCACCTCCTCCTCCCCCTCCTCCACCTCCCTCTCCCTCCTCCTCCTCCTCCCCCTCCTCCTCCTCCTCCTCTCCCTCCTCCTCCTCATCCTCTCCCTCCTCCTCCTCCTCCTCCTCTCCCTCCTCCTCACCGATCCACACGTCGTTGCCGAACCAGGACAGGTTCTTCTGTGAGCTGTCGTAGTATCCGATCTTCTTATACATTCCTCCTGAAACACAGAATGAAGCAGTCAATGAGACTGCAGCTGTAGCAGTCAATGAGACTGCAGCTGTAGCAGTCAATAAGACTGCAGCTGTAGCAGTTTACACTGACGCTTCATCCTCCTCCTCAGTCCTGGGTCTACAGCCTCAGTCATTTACCCTGGAGCTGCTCGATGAGGGTCATGGCCATCCGGGATCCCTGAGCATCAAACACCACGTGGCCCTGGACAAGAAACAAACAAGACTTTTACTGGACCAGAAACTGGTACAAGAGAAACCAGGGACTCAAGGTTTGTACATCATAAATAATCACAGTAAATTTAAAAGAGGTCGCTCTCCCTGGTCTCCCCCTGGTCTCTCTCTGGTCTCTCCCCTGGTCTCTCCCCTGGTCTCTCCCCTGGTCTCTCCCCTGGTCTCTCACCGACACGCCTTCGAAGGAGCTGGTGTTCATGGCCCTGTATATCTCTGCGGTGATGTCGTGGTTGTTGTAGTTGAAGTCCTCCAGGTGGCGCCCTCTGCTGGACAGACGCTGTGAGGTCTTGTTCAGGGCCAGAGCCAGAGCCCACACGGCGTCAAAGGCCAGCGGCGCCTCCTGGAACCCGCCCGTCTCCTCCGGGTTCTTACCCCCCAGACGGGACATCAGCTCCTCCAGGAACTCCTGCGACGTCTGGGACCAGCAACACCCACACACACAGACACCAGCAACACACAGAGAGACACACACACACACACACACAGAGAAAGACACACACACACACACACACACTCACAAGCAACATACACACAGAGACACACACAGACACACACAGACACACACACACACACACACACACACACACAGACACACACACACACACACAAAGACACACGCAGACACAGACACACACAGACACACACACACACACACACACACATACACACAGACACACACACACACATTCTTGTGAGCAGAGAGCCCTGATGTAGTCATGTTTTGGCTAAACCAATGGGGAGAGGCTGTGGAGCAGAGGGGGCGGGGCCTACCAGGTTGGACACGCCCTTGATGGTCTCGGGGTTGAGCATGACGATCTCGGTGGTCACATGACCCTCCACCGCCTCCGTCATGTTCTCCACGCTGCAGTTTATCGCTGGGTCTTTGATCTTGAACCAGTTATCAGCGTACCAGCCAATCAGGAACCAGACATACTTCTTACCATATAACTTCTCCTTGAACACCTGGTGGACGAGAGAGAGAGACCAGAGAGAGACCAGAGAGAGACCAGAGAGAGAGACCAGAGAGAGACCAGAGAGACCAGAGAGAGAGACCAGAGAGAGACCAGAGAGAGAGACCAGAGAGAGACCAGAGAGACCAGAGAGAGAGACCAGAGAGAGTAGAGAGAGACCAGAATGAGACCAGAGAGAGAGACCAGAGAGAGAGAGACCAGAGAGAGAGACCAGAGAGAGATCAGAGAGAGAGACCAGAGAGAGACCAGAGAGAGACCAGAGAGAGAGACCAGAGAGAGTAGAGAGAAAGACCAGAGAGAGAGACCAGAGAGAGACCAGAGAGAGTAGAGAGAGGCCAGAGAGAGAACAGAGAGAGACCAGAGAGAGAGACCAGAGAGAGTAGAGAGAGACCAGAGAGGAAACAGAGAGAGAGACCAGAGAGAGACCAGAGAGAGTAGAGAGAGAGACCAGAGAGAGACCAGAGAGAGAGACCAGAGAGAGAGACCAGAGAGAGAGACCAGAGAGAGACCAGAGAGAGAGACCAGAGAGAGAGACCAGAGAGAGAGACCAGAGAGAGAACAGAGAGAGACCAGAGA